GGGAAAAAAGCCACCACCCAGAAAAGGTCCAGCAGGAAGTCTTTAAGCTCTGTGGAAATTTCTCGCCCCTCACAAAAAGGTATTCAGCAATTCCTAAGCAGAGCTAACACCTGTTTAGCATATCAAAGGTCACATAGTTCACTCTGGCTGTGATTTTCAAAAGTAACTTTAGGTTTAATGCTTTGTGCCCTCCAGGAGCCCGACTTCTCTGAACATGATTTTCAAAGAATATGAGCTCAGCACTTTGTGAAAATGGGTTCCTTTAAGCTTAAAATGGGATACCTAAAATGGGAGACATAAAAGAAAAGAAAAAGAAATCAGTGGTTACTTGAAAATCTTGGTCATAAAGGGACAGATTTTCACATGCTCAGCCCTCACAACTGGGATCAGTTCTTGAAAATAGTCCTTTCACTTCAGATCCCCGCTTTCTGCTTCCTGACCAGTCAATTACTCATCTTGATAACACATTACATAAATTACACGGGAGCTTATATAATCATCACGCATGTGAACCAGCACATCCAAACACATTCATTCTCTTGGTCACCTCTTTCTCCCTTTAGACAAGTAACATACTTGTCTGGCATTTACCGTTTAGAAATCCATGCTGACTCACACACCTATTAAACTGCACTTTACCAAACATGTCTTTCATGCATCCATCATAGCCTTTGCCTTTGCCATTCTTACAGATCTGTAATTAGTTACTAGCTGCTTTCCTAGATGCTGTTTTAAAAGCTGGAACTTTATTTGTGGTTTTCCACTCTAAGGTATCAAACGTTTTCCTAAAATAATTGACAGATCAAAAAATTGATCCTATATCTTATAGGATATAGAGTCCATTGCTATTGGGCATACTTTGTGTACCTTTATTTGATTTATATTCTGTCCTCTCCAAAAAAAGGCTCAGGGCAGCTTACAATAAAAACAAGGTAGACTATAAAAGTAGATAAAATATGAAAATAAAATATTAAATAATAAAACAATTCCCCAAGCAATGCCTCACAACGTAACCCCTCCTGATAAAGGCCTACTCTAATAAGATCGTACAGCACTTCTGAGAGATGTCTAAGCTTCGGCTCTGATAGGCTGCAATGGGGGTGGAGATCCAAAGCTGAGGGGAGACTACTGAGAATTACCTCCCAGGCATTTTCACCAAACTTGGCACACAGATGGAAACTGTAAGACGTTGCTCTCCACTGACCTTAGGGATTGGCTGTAGAACACTTGACTCTCACCCCCATCAGGGACCTCACTACAAGGACAGAGGAGAACCAGCGTAGAGCTGTACCACAAATACCCTGCCTTCCTGTCACATAAACATGTTATCAACACCTCATGGTTGACTGTATAAAAGATCACTGCAAGATATAACAGGAAGAATAGAATTCAGTTTCTCATCAATCTTCAGGTGAAGATCATCGAGGAAGTCCATAAACTCAGTCTCCAAGCTCTACCCAGGATAAAAGTCAAACTAACCTTTCTACCCTATTAATGGTACAAGATTGCTATTTAGGCAACAAATGCAAAAAGAGATTTGCAAAGCCTCAAAAGATGCCCTACCCACAAGTTTCTAACTTGCCTTTGTGTCTTTAAGCATCTCTCAAAGAATCTGGATCAAAACTCTTTGGCCTTACCCAAATACAACACACGTGATACTCTTTCTTGAAACATTTATGTTGCACTTGGCCTGTTTTGCTTTTTGAGCATCTGAATAATAGAGACTATACAAATTCTAACAAGATTTCAGACTTCTCTCTCTTTTTTAGATCAATGTTCTTGCGCACAACTAGTTTAAGAGATTTGTCACTCATCTACATTAATTTTGAAGTCTACATTGAGTTTTCATAATGATTAACACTCCCTCTGAGTGAACTCTACCATCTCTTTACATTAGCCAATTTTCATAATAAATGCTGACAGTTTGTTTTAATTAATGTAACCCTGTTTTTATCTAATTTGATCCATCTAAACTTTAATTTACAGATATGTGTTGCTTTAATCATTCCAGAGTTTGAAAATTGGAATCTCGATTAAACTGTGATCAGTATTTCTTTGATAAGTCACTTCATTTCACCATAACTCATATGAAAACATGAAATCTAGAACGCTACCCAACATAGCTGAAAAACTCACCCTCATCCTTTTTCCCCTTTTTGCTTGAGTAGTTCAGTGCTAAGGTCATTAGTTATTTCCTTTAGTTCCTGTTCTAATAGCTGTAACTGTCCCCTCCAGGATCCCAGAGTACATTTTATTATTCTTATCCAGAGGCCAGTAAATATTTTGTATAAAGCCATATGGCTCCTGACTATGCAATACCCCTTCCACATTGACTCCATACTTCCACTTATTTTGTTACTTCAGATCATATCTGTCTTCCACTTGCTCTTGATCAGTATCTTTAATTTGCACACTGTGTCTTTATTCTCTATCCTTGTTACAGCACTGGTCCAGGTGGCCAAACATCCCATGGGAGGGGTGTTGGCAGCACAGGAGAACCTCAAACCACCCTGGCAAAATGCCTGGTAAGGGCTAGAACCATCAATTACTTACCTGATGCAGGTGCAGAAACAGAGGTCATAGAGTGGCGAACGGCGTTGCCTCTGATTTATAAATTCATGCTCCCTGAGGCTTGAGAGGTATATGGGGCAAGATGTCAGATGCCCGCACCAGGACCCAGCTACAAGAGGCTGAACAGAGCCATGCAATGGGAGAGTGGAAAGCAGCATGCTTGCCCCAAGCTCCGAGATGCTGAGGCTGGTAAGGCACTGAGCTAGTTCCATAGCCAGGATACCCAGAGGGGTATCCTCTCCTGTGAACCAGGGCTGCCCCAAAGAGGACCTGTCCTGGACCCCAGTACTCTGATGCAGCAAGAAGGATGTGTGAGTGGTAGGGACATTGCCGCTTCTTTTTTTGTTGTTGTGTGGCGTTGTTTTCGTTGTTGTTGTGCCATATCCTGATGGAGCCCTTGGTTTGAGCTAGAACCCTGCCAGGCCCTGGACCCAGCCAACACCCCTGTGACCAGAATTAATTAAGGGCGAGTAGGTTAAGAGAATAGCTTATGTGATATGGGGCTATGTTGAATTAAGAGAGCCCGGTAACTTATTGGGGACTTATTTGGTCTGATAACTAATTATAGACCTACTTGATTTTGGACTTCAGTCTGGACCATTGTGACTAATGTATTAATTTTGGACATTCTTAATTAATGAATATGATCATGGACCATGGTGATCTATGGATTAATTTTGGGATCCTTTTTTACTCAAGATGTTACATATCAATATCTTCCATAATTAATTCTTAAGTGCTGCCAAGTCAACCATATGTGGGTCATTCCTGTGGTCTGGATATTTTAAGAAAGAAAAACACCAAACAGGGCTGGTTGTATCCACTCAGAGTACCAAGCACCATAAGGCTGATGAGCCTCAGATGGTGAGTGGATGGGGTGTAGGGAGAGAGGAGCCCCAGGAAACACCTACCAATACCGCGTACCCAAGGTTGGTCGGCAACATACTTGGAACCTCCCTTTCTCTTTCATTAAGATCAAGACATGGCAGGAAAGCAGAGGAAGACCTCCCAAAAGGGAGAAGGCTTGATGTACCAGTGTGTCAGTATAGACACTGGTTTGAGCCTGGGAAGTGCGGTCCTGAGCCACACATCACCTACTGGCATAAGCGGGTACAATCATCTTCACAGTACTTGTTAAATTATTAATTTACATGACTAAAGGCTAAGCATTAACCCAGTTGCATCCATCATTCTAAGTTGGCTACCTGTATAACAGCAATATATTCTTGTGTGACAATAAAGTAGAAACAATTCCAGCTTATACCCTCCCCTACTTTTAAACCCCTGAACCAGAGCCAGATTCTTTTTACCACTCCATTCAAGCTATTTATTTCAGTTGTATCTTTTTATCTCTGTTTCATATTTCCACCCACTACTGTAGTATCTGAACAAATTGCAGTATTTGATATTTTTCTTTGTGCTATCCATGCAAAGTAGAACGGTAATTATCTCCTGTTTACAGATGGGGAACTGTGATACCAAAACAGAAAAAGCCCTGAGTGACTTGTCCAAGTCCTCACAAGAGATCTGTGGTAGGGCAAGGAACTCAAAGTTCCCACATCCCACATGAATTAACCCCCAAGCCATTCTCCCTCTCAAAATACATAAAATAACAGATTACCCACAAATATACCCATTCATAAATTAACAATACACTTGTCTTGCTGCTGCTTTTTTTCAGAAGCATCTATATATTTACATTTTTAAGGCTTGATCTAACACCCATTGCAATCAACTGGGGTCTTCTGATGACTTCAGTGGGTTCTGGAGTAGGCCCCTGTTGATAACTGAGGCTTCCACTCTCATTTAAACTTTCATTTCCCTATAAGTGAAGTTTATACATGGATTTAATGACCATATTGTAATTGAAATTCAAAGAACAGCAACCCATAGAGCAATAAAAAAAGTACTCTGGCCTAACAAACAAGTATTCTGGTAATAACATCACAGCAGCAGACAACGCCGTACTGCCGGCCCCAAATGAGGAGTTCAGCCCCTCAACATCACACATGCTGCTGTAAAACTATGAGATTTTTTTAAATTAATCAATGTTAGATTCATTTGCCTTTGGTTTTTAATCCTCTGGGCTTAAAATCATGTTTCAAGCTTTCTTTTTCCTCATACACACTTAGAAAACTTTAATAAAAAAAGGCGGGGGAGAGTTTCAGGTCATCTGACTCCAAGAATGGAGGCTAACAGGAAAATGTCATGAAACCAACTGAAAAAAGATTGCAAGGGTTGGTGACCTTGCAAGGTGTTTCAGTCACTATCATTATCAGTCTAGGAAATGCTAGTGTAGAGCACTGTGATTGCAGAGGGCAGCTTAATCCAAACTTAGGTTTAGTACCCACTGTTTTGTACATAGTTTTTGACAAGGTAACAGAAAGGAAACATATAACTAACTGAAAAGGGTAAAGACAATGTATTACCTTGATCATTTAGAAACTCATCCACGGAGTACCACGTCTTGCCATCCAAATAAAATGTACCATTGGTGGAGTTCAGCTCAGTGTAGTTCCTGATGCACTTATGTCTTAAATTTCCCATAAAGAGCTGCAAGCCTATGAGGGCAAAGACACTCAAGCAGAAAACGGTCAGGATCATCACATCGGCAAGTTTCTTAACAGACTGGATAAGTGCACCTACAATGGTCTTCAATCCTAGGGAGATAAAAGCCAAGAGTTTATAGACTTAGAAGCTGAAACAATGGTATAGTTAGGTCTTTTTGATGCTGAAAGTCTGCTCAGCCCTACCCTACCATTTATAAGTAAAAGGGTCCTTACTATATGTTTGTAATAAGATGGCACAATCAAGACAGAAGCAATTCATGTGAAAATTTTTTTTGACCTATTTGGGGGGGTAAATCTCTGCCTATTTAGGTTTATTCTTTCTATTTTTTCTTAACTGAAAAGCCATTAAAAAGGGGAAAATAACTGAATGAAATAGATAGCAAGTCATGAGACACAAAACTGATCAGAGCTAAATAAAATTGTTTGGGCAGACGATTAGATTACAAGGGATTCAGGCTACATATATACGTGACCTAAACTTATGGAAGACTTTCATCACTGACTCGCCAAGGATATGCTAAGTTGCTTACTAAAAAGTCCTTAGGTAAAATTTTCAAGAGCCTAAGACCTACTGACTTTTGAAAATGCAGATTAATTCTAAATCAGCAGGATGAGTCGATAAATGTTAAGCCCTGTGCGAGCAATCAAGAGATATGTGGATATTACTTCATGTCAGATCACGTTACATATCATCTGGCCAAATCCTGCTTGCTTTCCATGAATAGTCCTACTGACTGACCCAACTGCATGTCAAAATGTGTATTTAGAGTGGGATCAAATATATGAAAAAGCAGGAAAAAAGGCAAGAGAAACTAGTAGCAAGTTAAGTAATGTAAAACTGAGATAGTCAAGTGAAAATAAACACCTTGGTGGGGTAATTATTTTTAAATGTGCTGCCAGCACTAAGAGAAAATTGAAGGGTTGGACCAATCCAATACAGCCTGTTTTACTTACAGTATGTACAACATGCATGCAAATGAAGCTTGCTTTTCCAAATGTGTTTAAATAATTATGCCATTGTCACAAAAAAAAGGCTTGCTTGGAAAACGTTCCCTGAGAACAGCAATGGCAATTGATGGCATATTATGTAAAAAACACAATGGAAGATGCCTTCCTTAAAAAAAAAAAAAAAAGGAAGCCTTCTTTCGCCTCATTAAAGATGCAGCAGAAATTCCACATAAAGTGCATGTTGATAGAAGCTCTGTTGCTTGGTTAATCATTGATATTCATGAAATAGCAACTGGTGCTCCTGATCCTTGACACCAGTATGGCAGCATAAAAGGGAGATGTGTTTAAAGAAAAACCACAGCTGAAAACAGATGATGTTCTCATGGTAACACTTCCCACCTGTGTTGACGTGCCTACTGAACACTGCCATGTCTAATTCCCATGAGTCTTACCCATGAATGTTCAATTAGGCTAAGTGACCAAAAAGCCAAAAAAGCCCCAAAACCCCAAGTCATTTGGCTTTGTTTTGTTTTTGTTCTCATCCCAATTTTTTGGCCAAAAGGCAGCTGCTACATTTAAAGCAGGGTGAGCTTTCGGCATGGCTGATGAGTCTGCCACCACCTCTAGATCCTGGACCTTAAACAATTCCAGCTTGGGGTAGGGTGCAGCTACCACCATAAGCCAGGAACTGGATTAGTGGACACGGCATGGCCCTGAAGCCATGCCATACTGAACTCCCAGGCTATGGGGAAGCCATCTTTCCCCATCAATCTCTCTTGGATCCCCCTGCAAAGCCAGCGAAGGACATATTTTCAAAATGGCTCAGGGCCGGACATTCAAAAGCATTCCCAGCTAAGTGCCTAGGTAGAGGCCAGATTTTTAAGTGGACAATACTGAAAATCTGGCCACGTATTTCAGTGCCTAAATGGCAGCAGAACTCGTCCGCTAAACTAGCTTTAAATGAACATTAAGAACTCAAAGGAAAATGGCCCTCCCAATGGTAGAATGTATTCAGCCTTGCTGTGCATTTACAAAAGGTTTGGTTATAGCCCTATTCTGCAGGTTTTCCTTGGCCACACTCGCACAGAAGTCCACAGGAACAGACCTCGTGTGAAAAATGCAGGACCGGGGCATTAATGGTTTAAAATTAAACAGTAACAAATAAGCTGGTGAGAACCTCAATTATAAATGCATTAGGGCTTTTTTTTTCTAATTGTTTTTTTACCTAAGAAAACGATTTGTTTTGCTTGAATTTCCTTTCTTGTTCCTTCTTAAAGAGTATAGCTGCTTGCCCTCTTGCAGTTGCTCAAATTTGGGATCATCTGATGAGCCATTGGGCCTTTTAGGGGAAAACAGCTAAACTGCAACCTCTTTTATGCTTTTTCCTCAAGAACTCATCGGAAATTCCAGCATGACATTCACTTTGTTAACATGAATCCATGCTCAGACCTAGCATCTGTATGATTTAAGTGCAATGGTAAGAGGAGTTGCTTTGCCAAATACCTTCTGATACAGCAAAAGACAGCAAGGTATATTGCAAGTAAAATATCTGTGCTGCTTCTCCTTCCTTAAGTAACAATTACAGACTTGAGCCTGCAAACACTTGCTCGCATGAGCGATGAATGAGGGACTCCTTGTCTTAGGACCCTGATGCGAATTCTTAGCTGCACAGGTGGAGATTGGAAGAAAAAGGTTTGCAAGATCAGGTCCCCAAAACTGTTAATGTTAAGGCCAACTCATGAAATGCATCTTATCAGTTTAGGCACTCGAGTGTGGAACACAATGATAATCCTCCACTGTTTGTTTTATATGTTTAATCTTTGCAGAGATCAGAGCATTTCATTTTGAGCAGGTTTGCCATTTATTATTTCACTTTTCTTAAAGCCTCCAGGCCCTGCCCGTACACTTTAGTGGGAAAGCATTTTAGGAACAAATTTACAACAATTATTCGTTTAAAAAAAATTATTTAGGTTATAGTTAGGTGAAACAACCATATGGCTGGGGAAAACAAGATGCGGATTTGGAATATCTTTTGCAGGATCATTGTATTTTGGTCTCATCCTACAAAATCAAAATATAGCCTAAAAAGTAATCGCTTTTCTTATAGTCATTTGGCTCCTGGAATAATGTATTCAGATTCCTGCTAATCTGAATACTAGAAACCCAGGTCACTAGGAATTGGGGGAGCCCTGCTGCAGGTGCTCTGCATTTTCCAGAGTTTCTCTCTTCCTGGTTTTATTTTTTGTAAAGGTAATTGCTAGATGTACTGCAATTTTGAGCACTATTAAATCTTTTAGATAAATAATCCTCCATTGAAATCATGCCAATGAGAGCACTGCAAGACAGCTTAATAGAAGTACTATTTATGGAATATTAAAGGCATTTATTTAACTCTTGCAGGTCAGGCACCAAACTGGGCAGCATGCAGCCAAAACTCAGAGCCTAATCCAAAGCCCACTGAAAGTCAATAATCCATTAATATCAATGGACCCTGGTCTAGGCCCTTGTAGAGCAATGAAGGCAATGCTAATCTGAAGGTCTAAGTTCTTTCTGCATTATTAGGGCCAAATCCTGCTTGCTTTTCAGAAGTAAGATCACTGATTTCAGATGCTCTGGTGTTGAGGGTCACAAAGGTAGCTAAATTGGCAGCTGCAGACAGCAAGAGGGATTTGGTCCAAAATATTACTGTTAATGCTAACAGAAGTCAATACATTAGAACACTACCAGAAGTGAATCAAATAATAAATATCTGAGTGCAAATCAGAAACCATAAGAAAGCAAGCAACACCAAACAGTGAAAAATGGCAATATCCCCCAACAGCATCCATTCCTCCTCTAAAATTGAATTGATTATTAGCAATGTTCAGTATGTCATCCTTACCAGATGTTGGCAATCACCTACTGTACTTCAGGCACTTTCATGCACATTCTGGGGGAGGAGAAAAGAAAAAACAAAAACCAAAGCAAAACCAGGAACAGACTTGTGCTGCGATTGCTGTCACTTTGCTTGTGTATGCTTCTCCCAAGAGATGCACAGGTCTCATTAATGCTTGAGTTTTATGTATAAGGTACCGAGAACACACTCTGACAAGCGTGTTATGTCGTTAGCCAGAGACGCATGCTGCAGCTAGCAGTTTTATATTACCCTGGCAAATTCATAAGACTGTCACCATTACTGCAGATCATCTTTCTATAAGAGGGCTAGGAGTTGCTATGACATGCATAGTGTCTTCATATGAGATGCCATGTGTTTGCCACCTCCAGGTGAGCGTGTTGCCCTTCACAGGCTTCCAGCTGACTGCCTGCCCCTTGAGGATGATGATTACCTCTTGGGCAAAGGGACTGAAGTGAAATTTAAGTTGTGCTGAAGGAGGCAGCTTCCAGACCCCCCTGCAAAAATACTGACTTCACCTATAAGGCCTTGAGATTTTCATGTTTTGCTCCACAACTATCTTTCAGGACTGCATGATATCTAGGGACCATCTCCAGATCTCATCAAAGTGGATGGAAAAGCTCGTATTAAATTCAATGGGAGCTGCAGCAGGTTTCAGAGGCCTTAGATTTACTTGTTTCTGAGACCGGTTCTCAATATACTTGATCCAAAGTACACTGCAATCAAAGGAAAGGCTCCTATCCAATTCAATGGGATTTGGATCAATCCCATAATGGGGCACTGATTAATTAAATGGAACCATTCAATCAAGAATGCTGTGGGTCTTTTAAAATTAAATGGGCAGAGTCCAGTTGCCATAGTGATATACAAAGTGTGAAGCGCTAATTAATAAATTAAATCTCCTACAATAAAGGAAGTTTAAAGTCACAAACAAAAAGCCTTGGTTATTCTTCTAAAGTATATGGCTACATGAGAAAACCAGAGACCAGGAAGCTGGTTTTTACAAAAATACCTTTGAATATACTTACTGGAAACCTAGTAGGCCAGGTCTCCAGCTCCTGCACATGACAGCACATCACTAGGATCTACTCAAAAGGCGAGTAGCGAATTTAGCAAACTCTTCACCTTCAATGGTCTTGCTCAGGTACTTAAATTTGGGCATGTGCTCTAAGGGTGAGATTTTTAAAACCACTAAGCACTGGTTTATTCCTGCTCCTACTGAAGTCAGTGGTAAAATGTCCATCGATTTCCACTTAAACAGAGCACTTTTAAAGTCACGCACTAAGTGCTTTGCTGGAGGGAAGCCTTCCACTAGCAAAGGATCTGCCCCCTTCTGTGGAAATATAACCAAACAATGCAAGAGTGTCATTGATTCTTAGGGGAAGAGCTGTGGATTTGGGGGTCTCATCCAAATTGTTCTGATGGAAAGAGCGCAGGTGCCCGGGTCACAAGAAATATCCCGACCTGACACCGCCCCAGAGGCCACAAAACCTCTGAGGCATCTAGAGCGGAAGTCAGCAACCCATGGCCTGTGAGCAGGATCTGAGCCATGAGCCCTTTGAACTGGCCCACAGATGTGGGGCTTTGGCAGCATTCAGCAGTAGCAGAATCTGGCAGCACTTGGTTTCCCATGCTGCCGCAGGGAAAAGCAGTGGCTGGGTCTTGACGCCCACCTTCTTGCCCCTCACTCGAACTCAGTCAAGTCCTGACTGCAGCCTCTGCTCTAGAGTCCTTAGGCACCTTCATTTTCACCTGTAAAGGTTGTTAGGTGCCCTGGCTTAGGCTCCTGTACATGCACCATTCAGCTCAAGTACTAAGCTTACAACTTCTGCCTAAGCTCCTTTGCAATCCAGATCAGAACTGGGAAGCACTTAGCACCTGCCTAAGTCCCCGATTAGGCTTCCACAGAGCACCAAGTACTGTACAAATACAGCATTGGTGGGTGCTGCTGCTGTTATCCACCTTTGGCAGAGTGGCCCATGGGTTAGAGCCCTCCCCTGGGAAGTGGGAAACCTGTTTTCTGGGCCCACCTCCACCCAAGAAGATTCAAACCATCATTCCCTTCTTGGGAGGGTGGCCTAACCACCAGACTATACAACAGTCCAGGCAGAGAAACCCTTCCCTTTGATGCTTCCTGTTGAATCTGGGTCACTGGGCAGCCCAACATACAAGATTCACTGGGTCAAAAGGAAACAAGCATGTGGGAGTGTGACCGTAACCCAGTGATGGGGGCCAGGACCTGGATGGGGGAGGATCCTTAGGTTATGCTTCCTGCTGCCAGGTTTATTTCAGCGACCGCCTAATGCACAATGTAGACACTGATCTCAGAGGAGGGACTGAAACCTAGGTTTTTCTCCCTCTGAAAAGAGTGCTCTTCTCACTGGGGGAGAGAAGCAGGCTTGTTCTGGACTGCTTTCCTTATACCCCCATGACAGGCCTTCTTGGTCACGCAGGATATTCAACAGCTGGATGGGTAGACCACTCCCCTGGAAGGCTGGAGATGTCCATTTGGGTTCCCCAAAGCTGAGGGAGGCCTAGAAGACAGGTCTCCTACTTTCTAGGTCAGTGCTATAACCAACAGACTACTGAGTAATGGGCGGACTGCACCACACTGGCTGCGTTTGGAGACTGCCCATGGATGCTGCTCTGAACTGAATGGTGCATGAGTCAGAAACCCCTGTGCAGGAGCACCTCATCTCCAAGGAGAGGCTGGGTTTAAGACCCTCTCACAGCTAACATTTACTATTTGTTTAAGTGCTTCTCTGCTGAATACCTAGGTGCTCCAGATTGCCCTTTGGTGCTGGCTAACTCTCCACCAATTGCATGGGGATCCCAGCTGCCTACCCTTGCTGATTTGAATCACTTTCCTAGGTCCAGCTTCCTAATTTTCAGGCACTGCAATGCCTCAGTGGAGGCACCTAAAACAAAACGGAGACACCTATGTAAATTGTTTGATCGGGCCCTTGGCCCCTAGCATGAAGATTTTGCTTGTGAGAAGGTTATCTCAGTCTCCACACAGGGGGAAATGAGAGAACTTGTGTTACTGTGTACTGCACTGCTACATTTCTATCTATGCTTTCTTTCACCAACAAATAGCTCACTTAGGTATCTATGACTACTGCAGCGTTTACATGTATTTTAAATAAAATCCTCCTTTCTCTCTAATATACCTCTTTTCATTACAGACTAGGTACAATTTATCGTCTGAAGTGTAACAGGCTTTCACTTGGTTTGTGATAGAGAACATGACAAAATTACAGCACATAACTCAGCAAAATTGGCAGGCTCTGCTCTGAAGAGGTTCATGATTGAGACAAGATGGAAAGTGAAAGGCGTCCCCTGGAGAGGGCTGTCTCTCCAGGTTAGCCTTCAAATCACTGGCGGAGGAGAGCTTGAAAGCTCTTTTTTGTTTAGCCATTACTGCCTTATGTGATCTATAAATCATGATGCTCAGCTTGCAGTTAAACTGTGGCTTTCCCAAGCAAAAGCATGTTCAGAGTGAACAATGCAATTGTAAAAATCTTAACTAAGCCTTTCCGCTACATGGGGGGTTCCCTTCAAGCCCAATGAGTCAAATGTAAAACAGGAATGCCGAAGGTTTCTGGGATCATGACAGTTATGTACTGATCATTTGAAACTACTCATTAAGGATGGTTTTTGGCCACCCTGGGCATGTCTACATGTGCCTCTTTTAAGCGGGCTTAGCCTAAAATTGCCATTTTTAAGGCGCATACCTAATGCATAAAGCAAGTATCAGATTTAGGCATGAATAGCTCAGCTGCATTAGCGCACATGTAGATGCACTAATGCATATTAATGTGGTGTGCATCAATGGATACACACCATGTTAATGCACATTAGCACATCTGCACATGTGCTGATGCGACTTAGCTATTTGCACCTAAATTTAATAAGCCTTAATGCACATTGGTGCATCCTTCTATACATGCATGCCTAAATCGCCTTAATGCACCTTAAGTAAAAGAGTCTTAAGTTTAGGTGTGCGTAAACGCACATATAGACATACCCCCTGGTACACACTTGGTTCATCTACGTGTGCTATTAATATGATTGAATAAACGCTGGCACAGTGCACGCCTGAGTTTCTTGCTCCCAGGTGCCACATTTGCACGTGTGTCTGGGACCACAGCACATTGAGCTGGGTCGGAGCAGCCCCGGCTGGCGGGGGGCCCCGGGAGTCAGCCTGCCAGCCTGGGGCTGCTCCAACCTGGCTCAACATGCTGCAGAAAGAGTGGCTGGGCCCTGAGGGTGCTCCAGTGCAGGGCTAGCCGGCAGGAAGCCGGCACTCTCGTGTTCCGGCCAGCCCTATCAGCATCTATATGTGCATTGCAGTGCACTAAGTAACGCCACTGTAGGACAGTACTTGTGTTCACAAGTACTAACCTATGACAGCATTTATTAGTTTCCTGTGGGCTAACAGGGCTCAACGCGTAGATGCTGAGACTTTACTAAGGAGCTAATTAGGCAAGTGTGCAGTAAAGCATCTCATGTAGATGTACCCAGTGCGCAGCATCTTTCTGTACATTGGTCTCAATTGAATCACGCATGGCTGGAGGGGCTCAGAGTGAAGAATCTGGCCCATGCTGTAGAAGATGTTGTCTTATCTTAATCACAAAATTCATGCCAACATTTTAAGCTATGTGTGGCTGTTAAAATATCAGCTCTGAGAGCATAAATATCTATAAACACTTACACTGGGGCATTCATTTATATTTCTGTGTTGCAATGCAAGTGTCTAGCATCTCATGGAGTTTAAAAAAAAGAACTCGTTAGTCTTAAATGGCTGCACTGGAGATTTTGAGCAGCCTACTCAAAGTTTAGAGTATTTTTGATATGTAATTGCCAACATCTGTTCAGGATAATCACTGACAGCATCTACCATGCACGGTTTTTGCTATCTTCTCTACCTTGCCATGCAGGTTGGATATGTTAAACACTGAGGCTGAATGAGACCTGTCCATAGATAACATGTGGCAAGAATATATCTTGCCAGGGGGTTAAGTTCTGAAATTAGTCTGCCTCTGAATAAATCACTCATTGGAAGTATTTTTTTTAAATTTATTTTAAGAAACAAACCTTTGCCAAAGGAGAGCCAATAGTCATTCAATTTAAAATTTAAAAAAACTATGGGAATAGGAGCTAATTCATTAATGACTGATTGTCTTTGGGACAGCCGCATTTAATATTTGTTGGTGAAACCGTGGCCCCATTGAAGTCAATGGCAAAACCCTTACTGACTTCAACAGAGCCAGAATTTCACTTGTTGCCATTGCAACTGGGAGATCACCAGGAAAAAAAAATGGAAAAACCCCAGGCTACCTATGTTTTCAGCCAGAAGCTGAGCATGCGCTGTGACTCTTCTGAGGATGTACTCGTGAGCTGTAACACATGCTCTCAGGTCACCATGTGTCATATCATTGGTAAGGTCAAGATCATAAGAGAATTTCATTGCTGTTTTCATATGGTTCAGAAATGAGTACTTTACGGATCTAATTCAGGATGCACCAAAAAACCTATATAGCAGTACTCATGTTGGTGAGCTCTTGCCAGTTTGAAAACATGCCAGTTCCTTTTGCCCACAAAGTGGTATTGAAAATCACATGAAAAATGTATTCTATTGACAGGTCACATTCCCTACATTCATCCATTCCCGATCAGTATCTACTGTGAGGTCCTTGATGTTTACTGTTGTTTCTACTGGAAATGGCATGTAGGCTTTAACTGCAGCCTGAGTGTTTAACCTGATTTTCACCTGAAATGACTGAGATTGTTTTCAGCGCCCGAAGTACTCTGAACGTTCGTAAGGCTGAGACATTGCCCAGGTCCACAAATTCAGTTATGTATCTGTAACAAGGGAAAGTCACACACAGACAATGACAAAACGCCAGCAAAAAACAACAGTCAAGGGGACAAAGAGAGACAGAGAGAGAATCACTTGTAGCTGAGAGCTAATATGCAAGGATCAGGGCTTCTTACCTGGAATTACTGAAATAGTTTTTAAAGCTCTCAATACCCTGAAAGTCCGAAGAGGTGCAACACTGCCTACATTCACAAATTCTCCTACATACCTGTAGAATTAAGCCACAGTTATTTGGAATTATACAACAGAGTGTGCTATTGGACTGAATGAACAGTGCATTCACTTATGACATATGAACGAATGCATCCAAATTGAATGGGGCGTCCCCATGATGAGGCTGTTCTCAGATGCCATTCTTTCTGAGTATGTCATACTATAACACATTTTAAGTGTTACCTCTATCATAAATCTTATGTATTTGGCATCAGTTCCTTTAAAACTATGAGGAGGACTTTGTTATAACCATGCTCAACAATGCATGCTGTGAGCATGTTGTCATCCTTTAAAAACATTTTCATCTTCCCAGCAATTATTAAAGACGTATTTAAAAGAAGAACAGCAAGGTAAATGTAAAGACATGAGAAAATTTAAGTCTAAAATATTCCTAGCAATGGTGACCCAGTAACTGAAATCAAGAATATTTAGGACAATCAGGGGAAATATCAATGCACATAATTCCATGGGATTATTTCTCAATGGTGCTTTGGTATGTGGCACAGCTGATGCGGATTCCAAGAGATGATAACAAATTGATTTGGTTTTTGTGCACATAATCTTTGTCTGTGGTTGCCAGCAGATGGATTTTAAATGAGTATAATTTCAGTTCTACTGTAATGCATTTCTGATTAAAAATACTGATCCTGATTCTCTCCTGTTTTGCCTGTTATGTTGTCACAAAAACCTGTGCAAAGTGAGTGTACAGTGCTACTGCGAGGGTAAGTAATTAGACAATTCTCATGTGGTATTGTTTCACACAGGTCATTCCTTCAACCTGGCAAAAGCCATACAGCACATTCACCATCTTGTCTTCTGCACAGTTCCGCTCTTGGGCTCCATCACAACCCTGTGACATTAGATTTGCATATTTTAATTTCCCGGGGCAGTCAAACTCCTGTTTTTGGTATGAAGTTCACCTGCTGATTTACAGCAGCTGGCAAACTGGGTTTTGTGCAAAGACCTCTAGTGGGGTGATAACACAGTCTCCCCAGATCTGCTATTCCAGATTATCATCTGAGATGGCAACACTGCTTCACTTCAGAGTGAATCTCATTGGAAAATTTGGTAAACATTTGCCAAACAAAAGCTTTCCTCAAACTCGTGAATCTAACAGATCTCCAGTCTAATCAAATGAGGGCTAATGCCAACCACCTCCTCCATAACATGCAGAAGTTGCAAAGAATGTATGGTTGAGTAATGGCATATGGATGCATTTTAGTTGACCACCGATTTGTTGGAGCATTATAACTAGCTGGATGACCACTGTAGAAAGTGTGCTTGACTTTTCTTTTTAATCAGACATTTACTAACTACAGAGTGCATAGGAGTGCTTAGGATCAACTACACCATATACTGTAATGTGCTCTTTAGTACAATGGTTGAGAATAGTCTTGTGTACAACTTTATGGGTTTAGCGCTGCATCAGTTTATTGCACTAGTAAATGCTGTCTGCATCAATGGCCTATTTAATTGGTGACATTATCTACTCAGAAGGGAGATAAGAGTCTATTTCACCATGATGACATAATTCCTCTACAGGAAGTGATACTAATTGCCCAATAACACCTGTTAACAAAATAGCTGCACTGCCTGTTCATTTAATTCTAGCCACTATTGTATATGCTAGCTGGGTGCATCAATATTTCATACCTAAACTTGTTTGCACTCGAAACTCATGTATTTCAGACCTCTCCATCCCATCGTGAATTCTTATACACTTTCCTCTACTCAGGCTTTCAGAAGCATAAACAGAACTACTAGTACTATCATATAAACATATGTGCAAACAAGGTTGTAAAGCTGTTTGTGGATTCAATACAATTCTGGTTTGAAGGATTTTTGTGTATACAAATTCAGCTTGTATCAGAACTGAGAAGTATCCAGTGCCTCGTACTGTCTGATGGCTACAGACCTGGAAAGCAGAATTCCTGCTATTCTGATTGTATTGTAATTAATCTTAACTTTCTCCCTGCTAATTTGGTACTTGAAGAATTGTTGGCTACTGCATGAGAATAAAGGTTGCTGCTGTTCTCTTCCAGCCCTAGCCTATAACTGGACTCTTCATCTCTGTCAAAAATGCATTTGATCGCAAATATGTTTATATAGAACAAATCAGGAGAAGAAAAAAAAATGCAATATAACCCAATTCCAAAGCACCTAGTTATTGCAGAACGTAGCTTTTTGGCAGAGGGAGTCTTCCATGAGACCCACTATTTTAGGGGCCTTCTAAACAAGCAATATGCATTATTTGATAATAAATTTGGCATAAACGTGGAACATCAGAATTTTGGGGCCTTTTTCCACCAATGTGGGGAAGGGGACAGGGCTTTTATGCAGCTTCTATGATTTTGGTGGCAGAGTTGGACTGAGATTCATTTTATTTTACAGCACTGTGAGAGCTAACACTTACACAGAGTACCACAAAGAGGGAAATCCTATCAGTTTTGTTGGCCACAACCTTGTTCCTGTACTCAGTACTTGTTCAGAGAGTCAACATCAGGCCTATGGACTTCTTGGGCACATCTATACAAGACATTTACTACGCAGGAAACCAATTGCTTGCACCGTAAAGGTCATGTGTCTACATGTGAGCCCTTATTAGGCTGGAGCAAATTAATTTACTCCACAGTAGAATAGTATTTGTAATAGTACTTGAGGAGTTGGGGTTTTTTTATTCCTCAGCAGTACCTGTGTAGATACTGCCCTGGCTGGCTGGGGCATGATGGTGCTTCAGTGCAGGGACTGCCTGTCAGCTAGTCCTGCACTGAAGCACCCATGCACCCCAGCCAGCTCCTCCACAGCCAGGTCAGAGCCGCTCTGGGCTGGCATGCTGACCCCCTGGCCCTCCTGACAGCTGGGGCTGCTCTGACCTGGCTCAGCTTACCATGGTCTTGGGAGCACACACAAATGGTACACGCCCAGAGCAATAAACTCCAGTGCGATAAGCACTTAAGCTGAGAAGCATCTCTACACCAGATCCACAGCCCCCTTTACATACTCAAGACTGGGTAGTTTATGCACAACGGCAGCCGTAGTAGTCATACCTGTAGCTCTAGTTACTTCTGCCTCACTTTCAAAGCTCTCTGGGCGGATCTACAAGAGACGCTTTAGTGCACATCAGACTAATCTAATGTGCAGTAAAGTGTCACCATCTATACATGCATGGCAATTACTGCACAGTAGATTAGCCTAATGTGCCATTTTCTAGTACCAGTAGATGCAGGTACTAGAAAATGGTGCATTAAATTAATGCACCAAAGTGCACATGTGGATGCTGACTAGGAGCAAATTGCTCCTGGTCAACCCAGGCACCAGGAGGATACAGGTTAGCCCTGAGTTCTTGGGGACAGGCAGAGAGCTAGAGGCATCTCTCAGCTCACCCCCCTGGAGCAGCTCTGAACTGCATGGGATCTTGGAGCTCCAGGGGATGCACAGAGAGCTGTCCCCTGATCCCTCCTCACCTGTCCCCCAGAGCCCAGGCCTGACCCCCCACATCTTCCCTTGTTCTACTTCACTGTTAAATGCAACAAAGAAAAATCCTATCCAGCAATGAGAAAAAGATGACTGAGATGCAGCTAGCCCTCAAAAGGGTTTCTTCTGTGCTCTGCTTTTATGTGCTCAGAGTGGCCAGATACCAATTTTGGCTAAAACCATAGTAATTTGGTATGCCAGGTATCAAAATCTGGGCCAAAGACCATCCCTGCTGCTTGTCACCAGGATACAGTGCCTGATCCAAAGTCTACAGGAATCAAAGGAAGTCCTTCTATAGGGAAGTGTTGTGCTGCTGGGCAATACTGATAGAATTTGTGGTCCCAATCCTATATACTGTAAGAATTTTGCAGTGGACTCCAGCAGCCCTTATACATGCTTTAGCTAGGGTTGGATGGAGTTGATTTACCTGATTTGAGATCCACTCAAATACCAGGAGTTCAGGAGTTCAGCTAGAATGTCAGTGTTACCAGAGTTGCATTCTGCTTAAGGGAGGCTTCAAAAATGGAGGATAAAGGAGCAGCGAGAACATAATGTCAAAGGAGGAGAAAATAGACGAAATATGAAATGGAAAACAGGTCGAGAAAAATGAAAGAACAGGGAGAGCAATAGGGTAAGGGCAGGGGCAGGAAGCAGAGAGGAAGAGAAAAAAAACTATTGAAAAAATAAATATCATGAATTCCATACTGCAAAATAGTGTGGGCCCAATTCCCCAAGGGTTTGCACTGGATAATTCCATTGAAATTAATGGCCTGGGTTCTCCCACGCACAGAGATCTACTCTGAACATGAAGCTATCAAACAGCTGGTTATAGAGCCCTGGCTCTATAAATTGTCTTCACTGGACCCCGCTGAAGGATCCAGACCCAAATGGCCACAGACTGCCTATGCTGCAGCACAGAGCCCCAGCAGGGACTGATTTACCCTGTATAAGGGCATGCTGATCATCTAGCATGGGGACGAGGGGGAGTACTCCGTAGTTATTCTAACATGCAAAAAGCATCTAAAAATATTGAACTCCCCACTGAATAAAACTTGGCTAAGTTTCAGGATAAGAAGGGTTTGTGAAGTTAAAACTAGTTTGATAAACTGAAGACTAGCCCTGAGGAGGTTATAAACCTGATGCTTGGCTATATTCTGCCTTCAGCTATTTAAGATTCCTGGGCACTCTTTGCTGGAAAAGTTTGTTCCCTTTATTAATTGTGTTGCTATGTTTCTGTCTTCTGGTATGCTTTCTGAAGTGGATATGAGAGCTGTTCTGGTGCTTGCAGTTTGTACAAGGATTTTTTGTTGTTGTTAGTTTTAAGCAACTACTAATTAAAATGTATTAATATATTATTAATCCCCACTAAACTGAACTAATTGCAATTTTTCTGTGTGTGAAAGGAAGATACAATCATAACGGAAACCTCAGAGATGTCCCTGTGGTCAGTGTTACGGATAGACGTGTTATAAGCAGCAGACATTTTAATATTTTCCTACAATGCTGTTACCACCTAACTATATATTTAATTATGTACTGGATTTGGTCAAATACAAGAGGGGGAGTTTTCCCCAATCACCCTGGGGAAAAAAGGCCCTTGTCTTATATTTGCATATAAGGAAATACACTATCATTCAACTGCTGCCAAAAGCAGCATGTGCTCAGTAATGGAAACCAGCTATGAAGTTGATTAAATGCTGCCAACACTGAGCAGGGCTATAAAACATGTAGCCCATATTGGGTAAACATACTGATGGGAAACGTGTGTGCGTGTGTACACGTGACCCTTAGAAAAATGGGTGGGTGTTCCCTCCACAGGGACTGGCACTTGGCCTGGAGGTACTGCAATACAAGGCTGGCACTGGGAAAGCCAGAGACAGCCTTGACACCCTCCCTTTGATGCCTAAAATGCTTGATCTTAGCAAAAAGGCTGAGATCCTACCACAAGGGTAAGTTAGTGCCACCCACTTGAATAAGATGTATGGTAGAGCACATTACATGCGGCCTATCTCAGCATCGAGTTTTTCAAGGTTATAGTGAGCCACTACACTGAATACATTTCAATTCTCTCTTCACTCCCATAGCTGAGCTGTGCCTTTCTTTCCCTTTCCCAATGATTCTTGTTTCTTTATTGCCCTTAAATGTCTGGCAAACATCACCCAAAAGGGCCCCAAACAATTCACCCAGAAACCCTCTGTCACCCCACCCCCTTAGCCTGTCGCATATGTTTAGTATAGCCCCCACACCCCATGAGGTATTGCTGGACCGGGCTGCCCTGTGCTTCATTTGCGTATACATTTTTGGAGGATCCCAAGACTCATGAAAAGAACACCTGGTTCCAGTTATGAGTGGTGGGCTAATTAGCACATGGTTCCTTTGTGGCGGGTATCTGGAGTACATGCACGTACTAAGCAGTGCTGACTCTGATGTGGCTCAGCCCAATGAATAATATGATCAATGATGAGCCTTTTGGATTTGGACTAATATCCTGCATCATTTGTATGATATGTAAGGAGGTACAAATGTGCTGCTTAAAAGTGTGTTTATAGAGTACCTGTGCTAAAACTTGCAGCGGTTTTAATAAAAGGTCAAATGCATCAATTCTGCATGAACTAAGTATATGGGTACCTGTAGTACAGGTGTTTGTTGAAGGTCAGTGTTTTCAAGTTTGCCCTTCACTAAGGCGCTAAGCTTTAGCAGCTAAGGGACAGCAGGGTCTGACAGTAAGGAAGGAGGGGAAGGGGCTGCAGAGGGAACAAGATGTGGGGGCAGGACAGAGGGCAAGGGGGCTACCTGACTCCCCAATTTTATTTTCCCTGCTGGACCAGTGGGAGGGGCACAAATTCAAGACAACCCTCCAAAAATTAGATTCTTCACCTGGAAAATTATAAAAAAATTATGAATTTTCCATATATGGAATCTAATTGTTGGGGGGTCATCTTATATTCAGGGTCATCTTATATTTGAGTAAGCCTCCAAAGACCTCATATCACTCTGCAAGTGTTAATTTATTAAACGCCACAGAACCGGTGGTAGGCATGTATTCTAAAACCTTTTTACAGAAAGGCCAACTGAGGCACAAGAGAGGTTAAATAGCTTGTTCAAGATTGCTTAGCAAGCTGACAAAAGCTGAGATGTGCCCTGCCTTAACATCATTCAGGATGTAGAGAGATAATAGCTAACTTTTACTAAATTATAAAATGTTCCAACACCCGCACCAATAGCAATATAAGCGGAGAGACCTGTTTCATTCACGGTTAGAGTTACAGTGGTTTAGCTCACTTAAGCCAGTATAGGAGTAGGCAGGCATAGCAATTAAAGTAGAAGAGGGGATGTGCACTCCTAAGAAGCAAGTTCCTCTCCTGCCTTTAAACTATTTTCAAGTTACACCTGTCCACAGGCTCAGTAATAAGTCTGCCATACTACTTCTCATATGCCATACTCTGCCATAGTTTCTCATATACCTGGGGACAACAATTCCTGATGAGAACAGGAAAACAACTGAAATAGTTTTGCTTTATGTCACTGTGTTTTAGGAAGGAAATAAAAGGAGTGCTACTTACGCCATAACAATAACACTGAAATCCAGCCAGTTCCATGGATCTCTAAGGAAGGTGAATTCTGTCATACAAAATCCTCTCGCCAATATTTTTATCAGTGATTCAAAAGTGTAAATGCCAGTGAAAGTATACCTGGGGAATAAAGCATCCAGAAAAAGCAGGAGCATTAGAGGTGCAGGGGAAAGGTTTTATGCATGTGCAGCTCATTCTTTCTGGGTCCACTCACAAGAAATACTGCTAGTCATTTCAGTGGGATTGCTCATGTGACTACCGGTTGCAGCATCTGGGCTTTTATGAGTCGAGCAGACCCAGAACATACGAGGAATTGATAAGCATTCTTGACAGCATTATAATGAATGCAAATTCTGTTGTAGTGTATCCTAATGTTTCTGCCCTCACTGAGTCGAGTGTGAAAACTGTACTGCCTGCAAGAGTCGACAGAGGAGAGATGATCTGTGTAGCATTCTTTGTTTTTCCCCCCTTACTTTAGTGAAAGATGGTTGGCTTATCCACACCTCTCACCTCGCTCTACCTAGACCATTTCAATAATCATCCTGTTAAATCATGTTTCAGTCTAACCTTGTGCATTAAGCAGAAATTAACAGATCACAAATCACCCAACTGAGAATGGGCAGGGAGGAAGTTCTCTGGCCACTCAATGGTTCATAATACAATTGAAGTGATTCAGCAAATTAATCAACTGGGACCAAGTTAAATCCTCTTATTTTTAAAATGAATTTTTTTTTAAAGGATGCATCAAGATAAATACTTACTTGCATACTGCAAGTATAAATATTTACTTGCATACTGCACACACCTTTCCCCAAAAATGAGTCTTCCAATATTGGGGTGAATGGCTGAAGTTGAGAAGTTGATTTTCTGCCCAGAATAGCAGTGACATTTCTATTCAGGCAGCACTGAGGGCTCATTAAAATCTACTTGATTTTCTGCTAATTGCTAAACAGGTGTTAATGATCCTCTCTCCTTTTTAATCATCTTGATGTTCCTCCGATCCAGCTATCTTGTCGTTGGAAATCTCACTGACGAAACTGCAGTTTAGCTATTCCTGGTCCCTCTTCCCCTATTTCACAGCTTTGAAGACTCTTTTTAGCTCTTTTTACAATCCTAGATCTGCCCATGCAGTCCAGTCCTCAGCAGCTTCGGTTCCAGCTTTTGGCTGAGCGACCAAGAACTGCTGACAGTGCAGTTGTGGAGATTAGGCTCCATGTCTGCTCTACGTGGCCGTAACTTTGAAAACTCTTTCTTTTTTCATTCCGCCTTCCCAAGAACAAGGCACAGGGTTTATTTGGAGATACGTGGTATGTGAGAAAATATGGTATGTACAGAGTATATTCAGGACTGCAAGGACAAAATGGATTTATTTCATCTTCTCAAAATCTAGTAGCCGTTTTCACTCACAATTATTGAAGATTTAATCAAACTATTTTGCTCTTTAAAATGAACAATTTCTGATTTTGCACTTTAAGTTTGAGGGGCAAAGATTAAGACAGATGGTTTTTATTTTGTTTCTTTGTTTGAAAAGAAAAGGGAAAGAGTCATTCCATCAATTAAATACTCTCTTTGAGAATACAGGTTCTCGTGTGGCCTTTTTGAGGCACCGATAACATCATTTTCATTTTCTTCTTTAAAGAAAGAAATGACTAGCACATCGGTATCTCCCTCGATTGTTCAACATCCAGAGTACAGCCCCACAGCCCAACTCCTGGCATGTACCGATAAGGCTTTAGCTGTACACAGGATGGTTCTTTCCCTTGAACTAATTTCCAATAAGAAAAGACGTGAGTGTGCGTGCATGTGTGTGTGCGGGGGGGGGGCAGGGGGCACAAGACATAGTTGTAGGGAAGTAAAATTACACTGAAATCTATGATGTTTCCTCATATTAGGATGTTGTCCTGATAAAATTACCTCTTCTTTTGGCCAATTGATCTGTTTTGTTCAGTGTTCGCTAAAAGCTAGTAACTGATGACCAAAAAGGTAAGCCCTGCACCATCCTGGGAACCTTACCGAAGAGGGGACTTTGCTACCTTTCCCTCAAGCCTTGACTAGCCCAGCCACTGGACCACAAAGCAGCAGATGGCTGTGTTTATTATATGTCAGTCAAAAATAAAAAGTGGATTCCAATTGGCTCAATGAGCCAAAATAATTGCTTAATGAGCTGTATGTTGATTAGCTTGCACATCTGGTTTCCATCTCCAAATGGAACATCTTGAAAACAACTTACAGAACTAGGTTTTCCCATCTATTGACTCCTCTGCGAAATCCTATGAAATATGAACTTTCATTTCTACCCAGGGGAACTTTTACAATCTTTTCTCTGATGCCTGATGAAGGGTTTTTGTGCCCGGAAGCTTGCAATTAAAGAAATGTTTTTGCAAAAATCTTGTTGGTCTAATAAAGAGAACACCTCTGTCCACGAGCCCTGATTGCTTACAGAACTACAAACTGACCGGACTTTTCTTTTAAAGCCAGTCTTCCCCTCCCCCCAA